CTTGGTAATAATAACATGAAGGTACCTTGGTAACAATACCAGGAAGGTACCTTGGTAACAATAACATAAAGGTACCTTGGTAACAATACCATGAAGGTACCTTGGTAACAATAACATAAAGGTACCTTGGTAACAATACCAGGAAGGTACCTTGGTAACAATAACATAAAGGTACCTTGGTAACAATAACATAAAGGTACCTTGGTAACAATAACATAAAGGTACCTTGGTAATAACAACATAAAGGTACCTTGGTAATAATAACATAAAGGTACCTTGGTAACAATACCAGGAAGGTACCTTGGTAACAATAACATAAAGGTACCTTGGTAACAATACCAGGAAGGTACCTTGGTAACAATAACATAAAGGTACCTTGGTAACAATACCAGGAAGGTACCTTGGTAATAACAACATAAAGGTACCTTGGTAATAACAACATAAAGGTAACTTGGTAATAACAACATAAAGGTACCTTGGTAACAATAACATAAAGGTACCTTGGTAATAACAACATAAAGGTACCTTGGTAATAACAACATAAAGGTACCTTGGTAATAACAACATAAAGGTATCTTGGTAATAACAACATAAAGGTACCTTGGTAATAACAACATAAAGGTACCTTGGTAATAACAACATAAAGGTACCTTGGTAATAATAACATAAAGGTACCTTGGTAATAATAACATAAAGGTACCTTGGTAATAATAACATAAAGGTACCTTGGTAACAATACCATGAAGGTACCTTGGTAACAATAATATAAATTAAAGCACATTTTTATCAGCTACGTTTCGGTCATGGGACCTTGGTCACTCCAAATGAAGGTCACAGGACTGAAACGTATCAGTAAAGGCTTCCTAAGTGTATTCATCTGCGACCTTTCAACCAACTCTACAGAGTACCTTTACCTCTAAACAGAGTTTAGAGTTCCCTCTAAACTGATTTCATAAAGCTCTTTTCAGAGTGTTATGAAGTCAATAAATAAAAATTTGTCTGTGTACCATTATGGGACATACTTGCCTCTCAGACGTAAGCAGGCACCTGTTGCCGGGTACCTGAGTGTACCCCGCGACACTTCGGTACCCATCCAACACACCTCAATCACATTACCACCTGGCTATTTCGGGGCTCCCGAAGATGCTCTCAGACACGCCAGGCTAACTAAAAAAATAAAAAAGTCATCACTCACAAGAAACGCACTGAAACCTGATTTCAGTTACCGCCTGCATGATGTTCTCTTCGAGCATCGTAATGAAGCTATCGCGTATCTATGTTGAGTCCAAATATAGGCTGGAGTAATACCTGCTGAGGTAGCATCAATAGAGCTGTCTTTCAGGAGGAACTGAATGGGAGTGTGGTCCTTCTTGCCTCTCCTGGTTGCTACTCTGACTTAACACACACACACACACACACCAACTATGGTAGATCTATAAGGTAAACAACTAGTTACCTGACAGCTGACTCCTGACGTATTGGAGGTACCTACCCAGTGTGCTTATTACAGGGGTGGTACCTGTCTGGCTATCTTCAGGTTGCACATACCATCTTCTAATTTTGATTTATAAAACCAAACCGTCTACCCTTCCTTTCTATATCCTAAATTTCCAACTTATGAACAAATATATATGTAATGGACTGATTACATCGTCTTCAAGTATCTTCTGCTTCTATCAACTTTTCTGTACTCGACTGAAGAAGCCTACTGTGTAGGCGAAACGTTTCGAAATAAAGATACCTAACTGTTGCATATGTGTTTTACCTAACAAATATATATGTCGTGCCGAATAGGTAAAACGCGATTTTGGCTTAAATATCAACGCTATTCTTTCCGAATAAGGCAAGCAACATTTGTGTATGCAATAATTTCGCAAAAATAATTCTGAACCTAACGAAAAAAAATATTTCGTTGTATTTGTTTATTATTAAATTACTGTAAACTTATCTAAAATATATTTAGCTGGATTAGGCTAAATTAAATTGCGCTTGTTGTAATAAGGTTAAGTAAGTTTTCTAAGGTTCTTTTGGTACAAAATTATTAATTCTTACATTAACATAATACACACACACACACACACACACACACACACACACACACACGCACACGCACACGCACACACACACACACACACACACACACACACACACACACACACACATACACACGCACACAGTCTCGCCACTTTCAGCACCATAACGTGAAAGTCTTCAAGGGCGTCCAGTGTTTGTACTTTAAATACAATGTAAACACAACAGAACACTGCAACTTAACACACACACACACACACACACACACACACAGAGGATAATATTCTCAAGGCATCTAGTCAACAAATATTTTATATATAATATTTTAAGCTGGTCACATCAAGGGCACCAACACCGCAGTCTGGCAAACACAACAACACTTGTTTGTCTGTGCGATGGAACACTACCCCCCGCCGTCTTGACGTCTCTCTGTCTCCCTCAACACTGGTTCCAGTGCTGGGGATAAGATTTTGTTGGGATTTTTAACTCCGGTGGGTTAGCTACCCAGGATAACCCAAGTCGGTGCGTCATCGAGGACTGTCTGTCTTATTTCCACTGAGTTCCTTTAATCTTGTTCCCTAGGATGCGACCCACACCAGTCCACTAACACCCACGTACCTACTTACTTGCTAGGTGAACGGGACAACAGGCGTAAGGAAACACGCCCAATGTTTCCACCCTTGCCGGGGATTGAACCACGGATACTCAGCGTGTGAAGCGAGAGCATTGCCTACTAGGCCACGTTATAATAACGACCATTAGTAACATGGAGGAACAGAAGGATAACAATCACAAACTATGAACAAGTGTACAAAGGTTACTGGATTATTATTATTATTATAATCAAAGGGGAAGCACTAAACCCGTAGGATTATACAGCGCCTGTGGGGGGATGTGGAAGGCATTCAGGTTTAATTCAAGGAACTGGAGCACAGATCCAATTCCCTAGATCAAGAGCCCCTCACCAGCATCAAGAAACCTTTCTTGAGGGGAAAGGTTACTGGAATGCATGTCTTCACACATATTACACTGCTGCAATAACATCCAAGACAACGTGGCGAGTGTGAACAAAGAATCGAGGACTCTAGTGGGCCAGACTTACTCAGCCACCGAAGTGACGAGTTTATTGTGTACCTCATATCCATCCTGTGGATGGTAGTGGCTAGTTTATTGTGTACCTCATATCCATCCTGTGGATGGTAGTGGCTAGTTTATTGTGTACCTCATATCCATCCTGTGGATGGTAGTGGCTAGTTTATTGTGTACCTCATATCCATCCTGTGGATGGTAGTGGCTAGTTTATTGTGTACCTCATATCCATCCTGTGGATGGTAGTGGCTAGTTTATTGTGTACCTCATATCCATCCTGTGGATGGTAGTGGCTAGTTTATTGTGTACCTCATATCCATCCTGTGGATGGTAGTGGCTAGTTTATTGTGTACCTCATATCCATCCTGTGGATGGTAGTGGCTAGTTTATTGTGTACCTCATATCCATCCTGTGGATGGTAGTGGCTAGTTTATTGTGTACCTCATATCCATCCTGTGGATGGTAGTGGCTAGTTTATTGTGTACCTCATATCCATCCTGTGGATGGTAGTGGCTAGTTTATTGTGTACCTCATATCCATCCTGTGGATGGTAGTGGCTAGTTTATTGTGTACCTCATATCCATCCTGTGGATGGTAGTGGCTAGTTTATTGTGTACCTCATATCCATCCTGTGGATGGTAGTGGCTAGTTTATTGTGTACCTCATATCCATCCTGTGGATGGTAGTGGCTAGTTTATTGTGTACCTCATATCCATCCTCTGGATGGTAGTGGCTAGTTTATTGTGTACCTCATATCCATCCTGTGGATGGTAGTGGCTAGTTTATTGTGTACCTCATATCCATCCTGTGGATGGTAGTGGCTAGTTCACTGTGTACCTCATATCCATCCTGTGGATGGTAGTGGCTAGTTTATTGTGTACCTCATATCCATCCTGTGGATGGTAGTGGCTAGTTTATTGTGTACCTCATATCCATCCTGTGGATGGTAGTGGCTAGTTTATTGTGTACCTCATATCCATCCTGTGGATGGTAGTGGCTAGTTTATTGTGTACCTCATATCAATCCTGTGGATGGTAGTGGCTAGTTTATTGTGTACCTCATATCCATCCTGTGGATGGTAGTGGCTAGTTTATTGTGTACCTCATATCCATCCTGTGGATGGTAGTGGCTAGTTTATTGTGTACATCATATCCATCCTGTGGATGGTAGTGGCTAGTTTATTGTGTACCTCATATCCATCCTGTGGATGGTAGTCGCTAGTTTATTGTGTACCTCATATCCATCCTGTGGATGGTAGTGGCTAGTTTATTGTGCACCTCATATCCATCCTGTGGATGGTAGTGGCTAGTTTATTGTGCACCTCATATCCATCCTGTGGATGGTAGTGGCTAGTTTATTGTGCACCTCATGTCCATCCTGTCTATGGTAGTGCAAGAGATTATGGATACACAAAAGGCCTAGCAACTAGGCCCCAAAAGGGTTTACTGGAGTACATCTGGAGTGATGCAAGAAGACACATAAATGTGAGAGTAAGTACTAAAGTGAGCCAGATAAGAAACTTAAAAGAGAGGCCATACATTACTTCAAATGTGTATATCACAAGACCCACAGATGTGTGCTGGTGACCAAGTTCATGGGGTTTAAAGCCTGTCTAGTATACGAGGGTCATTAAGACTGTATGTCACCTGTTCACTATCAGTCAAAAATACTTTAATGCCTCTCAGTGTATATAAACTGAGAGACATACACCTCTCAATGTTTATATATATCCTATGCCTTGACGGCTGAGTGGGGCCCAGGAGCTAGTGCCCATCACTAGCAACAAGTGTGAGTGGACACACAGAGGTGCTGAGGCTAGTGGTGGTGGGTGTTCCACTCACACTTGTTCAGTGACCACTGCGGTGGGTCTGCCCACACACCTGCTTCATGCTGACGCCCACCTTCATCACCACGCCCGCGCCCACGCCCATCACCATTCCAGTGCTGACGCCCCAGCAAGGGCAAGGGCGTATCTGCCACATTTGGCAGAATACTCACCGTCAAACGCTAGGACTTTGACCATCTGTTAACCTTCAGTTATATCCTACTTAGGTTAGTCTAGCTTAGGCTAGGCTAGGTTAGGCTAGGCTAGGTTAGGCTAGGTTAGGTTAGGTTAGACTAGGCTAGGTTAGGTTAGGCTAAGTTAGGTTAGGCTAGGCTAGGTTAGGTTAGGTTAGGCTAGGTTAGGTTAGGCTAAGTTAGGTTAGGCTAAGTTAGGTTAGGCTAGGTTAGGTTAGGTTAGGCTAGGTTAGGTTAGGCTAAGTTAGGTTAGGTTAGGCTAGGCTAGGTTAGGTTAGGCTAAGTTAGGTTAGGCTAGGCTAGGTTAGGTTAGGCTAGGTTAGGCTAGGTTAGGTTAGGTTAGGCTAGGTTAGGTTAGGTTAGGTTAGGTTAGGTTAGGTTAGGTTAGGTTAGGCTAGGTTAGGTTAGACTAGACTAGACTAGACTAGGCTAGGCTCGACTAGACTAGACTAGACTAGACTAGGCTAGGCTCGACTAGACTAGACTAGATTAGACTAGGCTAGGCTAGGCTAGGCTCGACTAGACTAGGCTAGGCTCGACTAGACTAGACTAGACTAGACTAGGCTAGACTAGGCTAGACTAGACTAGGCTAGACTAGGCTAGACTAGACTAGGCTAGACTAGGCTAGGCTCGACTAGACTAGACTAGGCTAGGCTAGGCTAGACTAGACTAGGCTAGACTAGGCTAGGCTCGACTAGACTAGGCTAGGCTAGACTAGACTAGACTAGGCTAGGCTCGACTAGACTAGACTAGGCTAGGCTCGACTAGACTAGACTAGACATGATAACGACATATAAAATACTGCGCGGAATAGACGAGGTGGACAAAGACGGGATGTTCCAGAGAAGGGACACAGACACAAGAGGTCACAATTGGAAGTTGAAGACTCAGATGAATCAAAGGGATGTTAGGAAGTATTTCTTCAGTCATAGAGTAGTCAAGCCGTGGAATAGCCTAGAAAGTGACGTAGTGGAGGCGGGAACCATACATAGTTTTAAGGCGAGGTATAATAAAGCTCATGGAGCAGGGAGAGAGAGGACCTAGTAGCAATCAGTGAAGAGGCGGGGCCAGGAGCTATGACTCGACCCCTGCAGCCACAAATAGGTGAGTACAAATAGGTGAGTACACACGCACACACACACACACACACACAGTTGTCAGGAAATGAAACAATCTGGAGAGTGAAGTACTGGAGGCAGGATCCATACATAGTTTTAAGAAGAGGTCCAACAAATCTCATGGAGAAAAGAGAGAGTGGACCCAGTAGCGACCATGGAAGAGGCGGGAGCCAGGAGCTATAAACTGACCCCTGCAACCACGACCAGGTGAGTATACACATACAGTAAGTGCTGAAGGAGTACAGGCACTGTACTACCCACCTCCAGTTTTTTAATTACATTATCATGCAGTGTTTTGTAACATGCTGAATCGAGGATACAGTTACAGACCTCCGCTAGGCTGACTCATACTTCTGACCCCTCGCCTTATACAATCTATACACAGAAATACAACTCATACAAGTGCGGTATTAATACAATGTGAGCACAATACATCAAAGATTCACTCGTATTTGCAAATACAATGCCGGATCAAGCAGTCTGTGGTGGTTATGAGTTTGCAGGCCGCCAGCACAAACAGTCTGCTTGATCAGGCTGTCAGCAAGCAGGCCTAGCCAGAGGTCAGGCTTTGAGGATGGAAAATGATTTGAAGAGCACATATGACGTCTCCACGACACGCAGACAACTGTGTTTACACTTGCTCTTGTTAGGGTTGAACCTCGGCTCCTGGTCCAGCATTTCAGATAGCTCTTGCACACATTAGAGCCACTTGGGCTCTACCATAGTGGAAATAAAGCATAAGGATAGATGGAGGATGTGTGCATAAGGATAGATGGAGGATGTGTGCATAAGGATAGATGGAGGATGTGTGCATAAGGATAGATGGAGGATGTGTGCATAAGGATAGATGGAGGATGTGTGCATAAGGATAGATGGAGGATGTGTGCATAAGGATAGATGGAGGATGTGTGCATAAGGATAGATGGAGGATGTGTGGGGTTAGTGTTACTTTATGTTAATATTATCAATCTGAAACCCGCAACACCTGCTGTGGGGAGTTGCTTGTACTGAACACCTGTGGAGGTGAGTGTTTCTCACATTAGAAACTTCCAACACCTGCTATGAGGTGTTGCTTGTACTGAACACCTGTGGAGGTGAGTGTTTCTCACATTAGAAACTTCCAACACCTGCTATGAGGTGTTGCTTGTACTGAACACCTGTGGTGGTGAGTGTTTCTCGCATTAGAAACTTCCAACACCTGCTATGAGGTGTTGCTTGTACTGAACACCTGTGGTGGTGAGTGTTTCTCGCATTAGAAACTTCCAACACCTGCTATGAGGTGTTGCTTGTACTGAACACCTGTGGTGGTGAGTGTTTCTCGCATTAGAAACTTCCAACACGTGCTGTGAGGTGTTGCTTGTACTGAACACCTGTGGTGGTGAGTGCTCACATCAAAATCTTCCAACACCTGCTGTGGTGCTTCCCATACAGACACCAGGAACACAGCCTCCAGCAGGTGTTAAAGATTCATTCAGGTGAAGATGCAGGTGGATGATGCTCTTGTGCCGTAATGGCAGCCAAGACCTGTTGGTCCAGGACCTGTTGGTCTGCTCTTAACCAGTCCTCCCACAGTGCCAACCTCCACCACACCTACACAATCTTCTCCCTCCATCACGTTACTCCTTCACCATCTTCCTCCATCACCTTACTTCTTCACCATCTTCTCTAAAGAAGAAATTAAAGTAAGTTGTATAGTGTTTCCTCTTGTTTGTGTGTATACACTGAGATATACACACTTCTCGGTGTATATAAACTAAAAGATACACAAGTCTGGGTGTATATATAAACATTTTGATGTACAACATATATAAAAGATATACACTAGGTACATATAAACACACGCCTCGATGTACATACACACTTGTCAGCGTATATACAGTGAGAGGTATACAACTCTAGGTATACATTATATTCACAAATATATACACCTTTCGATGTAAATACAGCAAGAGATATACACCTCGAGATGAATATACACTGAGAGATACACACCTCTCTGTACTTGCACCGAGATATACACACCTCTCCTGTTTATATACACTGAGATACAAACACCTACCCTGTGTATATACACTGAGATACACACACACCTCTCCTGTGTATATACACTGAGATACACACACCTCTCCTGTGTATATACACTGAGATACACACACCTATCCTGTGTATATATACTGAGATATACACACCTATCCTGTGTATATACACTGAGATATACACACCTATCCTGTGTATATACACTGAGATATACACACCTTTCCGGTTTATGTACACTGAGAGATGCATGTTTCTCAGACTATAAACAGAGTGCAATACACTTTTCAGCGTACCATCCCGTGGTGTGGAGAGTACATGGGACTGACCACCTCCTATCATAACTGAGGGACTGACCACCTCCTATCATGACTGAGGGACTGACCACCTCCTATCATAACTGAGGGACTGACCACCTCCTATCATGACTGAGGGACTGACCACCTCCTATCATGACTGAGGGACTGACCACCTCCTATCATGACTGAGGGACTGACCACCTCCTATCATGACTGAGGGACTGACCACCTCCTATCATGACTGAGGGACTGACCACCTCCTATCATGACTGAGGGACTGACCACCACCTATCATGATGAGGGACTGACCACCTCCTATCATGACTGAGGGACTGACCACCTCCTATCATGACTGAGGGACTGACCACCTCCTATCATGACTGAGGGACTGACCACCTCCTATCATGACTGAGGGACTGACCACCTCCTATCATGACTGAGGGACTGACCACCTCCTATCATGACTGAGGGACTGACCACCTCCTATCAAGACTGAGGGACTGACCACCACCTATCAAGACTGAGGGACTGACCACCACCTATCATGACTGAGGGACTGACCACCACCTATCAAGGCTGAAGGACTGACGACCACCTATCATCACTGAGGGACTGACCAACACCTATCAAGACTGAGGGACTGACCACCTATCAAGACTGAGGGACTGACCACCTCCTATCAAGACTGAGGGACTGACGACCACCTGTCAACACTGAGGGACTGACCACCACCTATCAAAACTGAGGGACTGACCACTACCTATCAAGACTGAGGGACTGACCACCACCTATCAAGACTGAGGGACTGACCACCATCTATCAAGACTGAGGGACTGACCACCACCTATCAAGACTGAGGGACTGGCGACCACCTATCAAGACTGAGGGACTGACCACCACCTATCAAGACTGAGGGACTGACCACCACCTATCAAGACTGAGGGACTAACCACTACCTTCAAGACTGAGGGACTGACCACCACCTATCAAGACTGAGGGACTGACCACCACCTATCAAAACTGAGGGACTAACCACTACCTATCAAGACTGAGGGACTGACCACCACCTATCAAGACTGAGGGACTGACCACCACCTATCAAGACTGAGGGACTGACCACCACCTATCAAAACTGAGGGACTAACCACTACCTAATCAAGACTGAGGGACTGACCACCACCTATCAAGACTGAGGGACTGACCACCACCTATCAAGACTGAGGGACTGACCACCACCTATCAAAATTGAGGGACTAACCACTACCTATCAAGACTGAGGGACTGACCACCACCTATCAAGACTGAGGACTGACCACCACCTATCAAGACTGAGGGACTGACCACCACCTATCAAAACTGAGGGACTAACCACTACCTATCAAGACTGAGGGACTGACCACCACCTATCAAGACTGAGGGACTGACCACCACCTATCAAGACTGAGGGACTGACCACCACCTATCAAAACTGAGGGACTAACCACTACCTATCAAGACTGAGGG